AAACCCCTTCTCCAAATATCCTAGATCGCATCCAATTCTCGTAAAATTGTTCGTAAAACAATAGATAACCCTCTCTTTCCTCAACCTAGCCTAAAATAATCTCAGATTAGTCATTACAATGCAGGAAATGCCTAAAATACCCCTCGGATAAGTGTCTCAGCGAAATACGGAAAAATCACAAATTTTGGTCTCCAGGCCTCTTGACACGGGCCGTGTCAGCTGACACGGGGGCCGTGTCAGACTTCTGCTTCCTGCGCCATTTTTCTCTTTGTCCCAGGGGTGCTGACATGGGTACCCTGGATTGTCTCAAAAACTTCCTTTCAGCCTCTCTGCATCACACGGGCCGTGTCAGGCAACACAGGGTCATGGCAGGCCTCTGTGACTCTTCAAACGGCCTTTTGACAATGCTCCGAATGTTCCATTCTTCGTATGGGTCTTCTGGATCTTTCACCTGTGATTTGAAATCAACAACAACTACAAAAACACACATAAAGTGCATCAAATAGATAAAAACTCGTAAACTAAACAATTACGGAAAGACAATGCAAAATGCAAACACATATTGAAAAACAAGAATAAATTCAAACAACCTGTTACCGATTTTTGTAGTTTTGTGTCGAATGATGGTCAAAAAACAAGGGAGAATGGTGACCGATCAGTAAACAATTCAAAATTCCATATGATCAAGAGTCTCCAAGATTTATTTGATTTTTATTCAAGAGATTCTAAGGCTCATGTGTTTATTTCCCCTACATCACTTTGATCATTTCCTACCATGTACCTCCACTAATCACCACTCTTTTGATAATTCCCTCCAAATTTGAATTCTAATCCTAATTTTCAAATTCCAAGCCTAATCCCAAACCACCAAATTCCCAAGCCTAAACTCTTTAAATAGAGGTTTCATTTCACTCATTTCACAAGCTTTTGATAGCCAAAAACTCTCTTGCAAATTCTCTCCCCAACCACCTAATTCACCAAAGCTCACATTTCTTCTTTTGAAAGTTAGTAAGAATTCACATTGATTCTTACTTAAATTTGAGCTAAAACTTTATCCATTCTTGTTTTTGTTCATCAATCATAGTAAATCAAGGTTTTGGAAGGTAGATCTTGCTGTAATTCAAAGGAATTTTCTGATTTGGATTGGTAATTCAACTTCCGCCATTGTTAAAGCTTCATATTCATCATTCAAGATGTAGATCCTTGGTGCTACTTATTGTTGATTCTTTGGATCCTTTATTGTTGTTTGATTGCAGGTTTCTTCATCTATTTTTACTTTAAAATTTGTGCCAATTTAGTTCATGATCATAAGGTGTTTTAAAAATGTTTTGAAAGAGGATCATGCTGAATTTTGCACATTTTTTTGTTGCTGGTACATCGTTAACCGACTAACCAAATACAATGCATTTTGGTTAACCGGTTAACACCCTGTTTTTGGGTGCAAAATTGAAAATCTGCACTGGTTAACCGATTAACCGATGTGTTAACCGATTAACTAGTGTCAGAATGTTGTTTTTTGTTCTTTTTAGAGGTTGTTTTGGTTGTTTTCTCTTTTCCTTACCTTTCTTTTCTTCATAGCCTTAGATCACATACTTGTGTGATTTAATTAGGCTTTTCTCTTCATCTATTTTATTTTATGTTGATCGATGAAAGTCGAAGTGATCTTGGAATTCCATTGTTGAATTTTGATCGAGACGAAATCGTTACTTTTTTTTCTTTTCGTGCGGCATTGCTTTTGGATGACGATTTACATATCGTTCATATAGCATGCATTAGTACACAAATTTAATGATTGGCCTCATTTGTAGGGTAATTACTTCGTAAATTACTCGGTAATTGCTTAACATAGCGTAATATTTGTCCTTTTCGATCCAATTCAGTATTTGAACTTTCGTGGTTCGAACCTTGTTTGGTCGTGTCAACCCAATATTGCTTAAAACTTTGTATTAGGTCCATAATCTTTGACACTTGGCATTGTAGAGGCTTTGGTTTTACCAATCTTCTGTCAAGTTCATTAACTTTGGCCCAAGTGCACGGTTTATTCGTTATAGTTCAAAATGCGAAACGAAAAATTAGCAAAGGCTTATGGCACTAGGGCCTTGTGCTACTAACCACTAATTTCTAAATTTTATTTTCTTTACTTATTTCACTTTATCTCTTTTATTTTTATGCTTCTTATCATTCCATATTCCATGTTTATGTTTATGTTTCCGTATTTCTTTTGCTTTGTTTATGCTTTCTTTTTTTACTTTGTCCATTTGTACTCCTAAAACACTAATAAAGGCTTAAACCATAAAACTTAATTCCTCCCATCTTGGACTATTAGTTACTAGCATATGCTTGGAGTTGATCTCATTATGGACCTCTTTTGAAGTAATATTTGACTTATGGACCTAGAAATTATGACTTCCTTTGCTTGGAGTATTGATTGAAGACTTGTCTTTGATGACCAATTTTCTCAAGGATGTAGTATTTTTAATATTGTTTTGAAGTGGCTCTATTGTGGTTAAATCATTCTATTCCCTAACTTTTACTTTATGCTTTAAGACAATCACTTCTTCTCCTCCCCATTCTTAAATTTTCAAAATCTTCTCTATTTTTCAAAACTTTCTTGTTTTAAAACTTTCACTACTTTCATAAACAAACATTAACTTTGGTCAAGTGATTTTTCTTTAAACTTTTGTTTTCTTTAATAAAATGTCAGTTTACCTTAATCATACTTTGACTATTTTAAAAATATAAAAATATAAAACTCATCAAACTTCTTTTTGTACTTTGTGCACTTTTTCTTTTAAAACTTTTCATAAGTTTAGACATGATTCATTTCTTTCAGCAGGATTATTCACTTGAAAATGACGACTTGTCTTGCATTTAAAATCAACCAAAATAAACAATTTTTTGTTCTTTGTACCACGAACTACGGGGTTTTGATCATACATTGCACATCGTGGATACGTAGGCATGAGGCGATAAGTCTCTTCAAACGCAAAAACATACAAAATATTTCTCCTCTCATCTCCTTATTCTCTTTCACAAGCAAACTTTTTTTAGACCAAAAAGCATGAATACATCAAAAGGCTCATATAGAGTACTATAGATGTATTGGATGCGTAAAACATTCCCTTTACAAAACCAACCCCCTTACCCTACTATCTCTTTAGGTTTTATTCGCTCTTTTTTCCTTTCCTTTTTTTGGATAAAAATAAAAGTGCGGTGACGACTCTTTCTTATTTTGTATGATTATTTAATACAACTGAGTTCATATTAATATTTTTTTTACTAAAATATACATTTTCAACGGATCAAAATTACTTAATTTGTCTATATTTTTTAAAATTCACTATATTATATTAATTTACTATTTTAACAATTAAAAATAACGACATTGCGTGACTCGTGTGAACTCACGGGTCTCTTATTATTACATTCCAACATTTTATATATATTTATTAACAATCATTATATTATATTTATTAATTATATTTCAAATATCAAAAAAACAATTTCACGGGTCACTATCATCAAAATATCTATTTTATTATAATTACTAATTGTCTCTATTTGAGACACAAAATTATTATTTTCAAATGTTAAAATTTTTTATTTTTTCTTTCTTCATTTCACAAACTCGTTTTTTATTTTGTATTTACAATTGAGTCTTTTGTAATTTATTTAGGGTCTTACTTTGCTCTTCTCTTTTTATTAGTCTTTTGTATCGGGTTGAAGAATCCATATTTCTCCATTTTAATACAATTGCTTATAAAAAAGCAATCGAGTTCATAATAATATTTATTTTTCTACTAAAATATATATTTTTGACGGATCAAAATTACTTAATTTATATATATTTCTTAAAATTTACTATATTATATTAAATTAATATTCTAACAATTAAAAAGAAAATGATATTGCGTGACTCGTGCGAACAGCAACCATGCAAACGCACAGGTCTATATTACATTAATATAATTGTCACGTCTTAATTTATATTCCTTTTCATTTTGTTTAACTTATTTTTTATTTTTATTTTCAATACTTTTTCAATAGTTTGTTTTCTTTACTAATCCATTATTTTAATTATTTTTCATAAGCATAATTTTTTTCCTATATATTTATTATTACTATTACATTTTTTATTATTTTTTATTAAATATTATTTATGCAAAATTCTCAAATTTTACTCTAATATATATCTTCCAAAAAAATTATTTTACTTATTATAGTAATAAATTTTTTATTTCACATTTATTTAAACTATTTTAACAAACCTATTTTTATTTTCATTTAGAATTTTGAATCTATTACTTATAAATTTTCACAGCTTTGTAATGGAAATGCTATGTTGCAATTGTAATATTTTGTCTTCATATATCTATATTTATTTTAATACTATATTATAAATATTTAAATTTATCAAATATATTGATTTTATTAGATATTTTTTATTTTTATAAAAAGTTATTTTTATGATAAATACACGTCATGACGGATACCATCGATATCATATTATTTATATATTAAAAACAAGCACGAATCTTCTATTCGATATCATATTATTTATTTTTCAAAATGTGGCATATTGGTAAAAAAATCCCTTTTGGGTATGCTTTTACCACCTTAACCTCTGTGTTACTTCACCTTTTTGGGAATATAACCCACTGTGATATTTAGGGTTCAATTCTCCCGAGAAAACAAAACTGAAAATCAAACAGAGTCCCTCAAAAGTCTCCAAATTTCAATCTTCAATTTCATTCTCTCAATCCAAGGTTCTTTCTCTCTCGATTTTGCATCTTATGGCTTTGTTAACATGATTTCCAGTTTTGCATCTTATATGTTTTTTAATTATGGTTTGATTTAATTCAAATTTCAGATAACCTCCCCTTTTGATTTTGATTTTGATTTCGATTTTAAATCAAACATTTAAGTGAGATGTTGTTTTTTATTATTAGACTTTTTAATTAAAAAGTCAGATGTTGTTTTCAGGATCCAAAGTTACAGCAATGGTAGCAATGTCATCTCTTCTTGTCAATGGAATTCCCCAATTTCTTCCACAACCCACATCACAAGTTGTGAAAGGCTCTTCCGTTCAGGTAAAACTTAATCCCAATTCTATCAAATTAAGAGCTTCAGCTTTCAAGGTTAGGGCAAACAGTTATGAAGATGATCAAGTTGACAACTTCCTGAGAAGGGATTATAAGTGGGGATTTAATCAAGAAATTGACTCATTTTCGTTACCCAATGGCTTATCCGAGCAAACTGTTAGGTTAATATCTGCAAGAAAAAATGAGCCTGATTGGATGCTTGACTTTAGACTTAAAGCATATCACAAGTTTTTGAAGATGAAAGACCCAAACTGGTCTGACAATAAATACCCAAAAATTAATTTTCAAGATCTCTGTTATTACTCCGAGCCTAAGAAGAAGCCAACTTCGAATAGTGTTGATGAGCCTGCACCTAAGCTACTCGCCTACTTTGATAGGCTTGGTGTTCCTCTCTTAGAAAACAAAAGCGCTAATGTAGCGGTAGATATTGTTTGTGATAGTGTTTCGATTGCAACGACTCATAAGAAGACTTTGGAGGAAAAATCTGGCGTCATATTCTGTGCTATATCCGAAGCTGTAAGGGAGTATCCAGATTTGGTTAAGAAATATTTAGGAAAGGTTGTCCCTTATGATGATAACTTTTATGCAGCCTTGAATTCTGCTGTGCATGGTGATGGGACGTTTGTATATATTCCCAAGAATGTCAAGTGTCCAATGCAAATATCAACATATTTTAGGATTAATGCAAAAGAGTTAGGTCAGTTTGAAAGGACATTGATTGTCGCAGAAGAGGGTAGTTTTGTGGAGTACTTGGAAGGGTGTACTGCACCCATTTACGATACTAATCAGTTACACGCAGCAGTAGTTGAATTATATTGTCATGAAGGAGCAGAGATTAAATATCTGACAAAGCAGGATTGGTATGCTGGTGACGAGCATGGGAAAGGTGGGATATATAACTTTGTCACCAAGAGGGGACTTTGTGCTGGGGTCAGATCAAAGATATCTTGGACACAGGTGGAAATAGGATCAGCAATTACATGGAAGTATCCAAGTGTTGTTCTAGAGGGTGATGAATCGGTAGGGGAGTTTCATTCAGTAGCACTGACTAATAACTATCAGCAGGCAGATACAGGGACAAAGATGTTACATAAGGGAAAGAATACTAGGAGTAGAATCATATCTAAAGGTATTTCTGCTAGGCATTCCAGAAATTGTTATAGAGGACTTGTGCAGGTAATGTCAGGTGCAGACGGAGCTAAAAGCTCCTCACAGTGTGATTCCATGCTTGTAGGAGATACTGCAGCTGCAAATACCTACCCATACATTCAGGTAGTTACTTTTTGAAAATGTTCTATTGATTTTTTAAAGTTTGTTTACACCCTCTTGATGTTAATGTCTATGCCTCGGTTCATGGGTTTCCACTTAAGGTTTTTGCTAGGTTATTCTTGTTTTATATATTACATTTAATGAGGTGTTGCCAAGTTGATTTCTTACTTGGCTTTGCAAATTGACCGTATATATTTTTGTTTGTGTTGTATAATATTTTATGAAATTGCATTATTGAATAATGCTTGAAATTTGATGCCTTGTTTGTGTTTATTCTTCACAGTCTAAGAATCCTTCTGCTCAGATTGAACATGAAGCTACAACATCAAAAATCGGTGAAGATCAGTTGTTTTACTTTCAACAGAGAGGAATTGACTATGAGAATGCCATGTCGGCTATGATAGTAGGATTCTGTAGAGATGTAATCGATGATCTTCCATATGAATTTGCTTCTGAAACAAAACAGTTGTTGAGCTTGAAACTAAAAGGATCTGTTGGTTAGGTTCCATAGCCGCTGGATGCTTTTGCTGCTGCTGATGTTACAGACTGTGTACTTGATGATGTATATGAAAACCATAATTTAGTTATTTAGTTTTTTTTTTTTTGAATTCTTATCTACCCACTTCAAAAAGTTGGGTAGAATTACCTATAGAATAAATTAGGCTAAATTGCATCAGGGGATTGGTTAAAGGTAAACTATCCAATTTTTTGTGATAGATAACAAAGTTATCTTTTTTTTCTTTCTTGAACTATGTAACAGTATTTCGCACCAACGGTATTCTGCCTTCATATTCTTTGTTGTTGGATTAGAGTTTTCAGCAGTTGCAAGTCTCATTATAAGCTGCATTGCTTGCTTTTAAAGCAATCCATGGATCAAGGTGATTACATCGACTACCTAAAGAGCTTGGAGCCACGAGGAGTGCCACAGCACAAACTGGCACTAAAAATAAATACTCTCTGAATTACTACCACATTGATGATGCGGTGAAGTGCAAGCTCTTCGTACTAACTCTAACCGGATTAACTATGACATGGTTCAAATCTCTACTCGATGGAAGCTTAGATTTATGGATTTATTTATGTGAGAACTTCATCGCTCCAAAGAGAAGCCATAACGGAATTGCCTAAGGCAAGAAAGAAAGTTTGTGGTCATATATAAACCGCTTTACCCAAGTAGTTGTAGTAATGGGAGGCTCCAAAGAGAGCTTCAAATACTGAATTTTCGAAAATGGTTTAAAGCATGATAACTCCTTTAGCGAGAAGTTAGGGCGTAATGAGACCCACGGTTTGAAAGAGCTACTAGAATATGGTTCAACCCTTTATTAATTATGAAGAGAAATTTATTTCCAGTGAGACAACCAAGTACCAACAGACGCATGCTCTAGCCGGTCGTCCATGAAGAAGTACAACCTATGGTTGGTTTGACAAATACACCCCCTATCGAGAAAAAATATATAAAGAATGTTCTAATATTGAGTTCGAGAAAGTTGAGATAAAGAATCCCTTCACATTTGTTTCACATAATTAATCCTAGAAAGATATAAAACTTAATCAGATGACGAACTTTTCAACTATGTTATTTTTTAATGTTGTTCATTTGCATTTGGTTTTTTAAATCAATCATGAAAATCTTGTTATTTTTTAATTTAAATTAACGACGTTCTTGATATCTTCCTCTATTTCCTTTACCATCATTAAAATCACTTAAACAAATAGAATCACATAAAGTAGATCCATTAACATTGCACTATAGCTAAGAAGTTGTTGGTGGATGCCATATTACTTCTTTGGTCAAAGGAGCTTTAGGGAGATAAAGGTTGACACAAAAAACTTTCAAAATCAGAAACTCAGATAGAACCAAATGAGGTTAATTTTAAAGAGTTGGCAGCTAAGAAGACATTGGAGATGATAATGCAAACCATTGAATTCCAATTAGACTTGTTGCTATTGAATTTCTTGAGTTTTTGATTACCAAATGACAAGTATGCAATCAATGATAGTATAAAGAATGCAAGACCAGATTCTAGATGCAATTGGACATGAACATAACTGAAATCTCAAGACCAGATTCTAGATGCAATTGGACATGAACATAACTGAAATCTCAGTCTTGTTTCTCCTCCTCTATATTATAAGTAACAACATATTACATTACATAAATAAATACAAGCAGAGTCTTTTCATACACAAAACAACATACAATACAAAAGTAAGAAATTATTACTTTTTAGAATAAAATTCAATCACCGCCTTCTCCAATATTATGTATATATTAGGAAAATTCTTCCTAAGCCTTAGCAGCTCCTGCCGGAGTCTCAGCCCTGCTTGCTACTATCTGCTCAAACAAATCTCTTATCTTCAAACCAACTATGGTTTGAAACAGACCTGTTCCGTTGTTGCTACCAGGAAAATCAGCATGCTTCAACATCTGTTGAGTAACTTCTCCATAGAATTTGGATGATAAGTTGCTTAAGTGACTCTCAACATATATTAGTTCATCTAGTCTGTCAAATTGTCCATCCATTTCCACAACTGACACCTATTTTGCAGAGAGATTATCGAAAAAATGAGAATATTGAAAACAAAAAAGTTGATATATTATTTGAACAATAGACTAGTTGTTGATCGATATATACCTCGTTTCCTTTGTATGTTTCTGGTCCGTAGAAAAATTTGATTCCGGGGTAAGAGCATGTGAGTAAGAGCATGTGAGTTTTCTTCCACATGGAATCCATGAAATGGTTGAACCTTCGTCAAACAAGTAAACTGGGCTAAAGTATTTAACACCCTCTTTCTGTATCAATCTTACTCGTAGAATCTTTCCCTCGTTATCATCGGGGATGAGTTGAGTTGGTAACACTTCTATAACTGCATCTGCATATTGCTTTTGTGGATCTGAAAATAGCAAGTGCACAAGTTAATCAACACACGCATTATGCATATGAAACACGGACACACGACGCGTACGTCAGAAACAATACTAACACGTATAGACACCGATGGTTATCTAAGAAAATGGAAGTGATTGAACGTAACTACATGTTTTGTGTCATTTTCAAACACTGATCAGAACATTTGAGTTATAATCATAATTGATTATTACCAATATAAGCTTCAAAATCAGGCTTTCTTGCTTCAATGCTAGCCTTTATACTTTCAAGACTGTGCCCACGTTCTGCCATGTCTCTCTGAAATATTTATCGAATAATCGTTAATCCGTAATGAACGAGAAGCATCACAAATTAACCTTTGAATTTTACATTTTTTAACTCTTGAATCATATATCATAGTTACCTGAATTTTCCAAGCAAACTTCACCTCATTACTAATGTCTAAGTAAATACTGAAGTCCAAGAGTTCTCTAACTCTAGAATCATACCTGCATGCAAGAAAAAATCTCAAATTAATAAGCTAATGAAAAGCTACATAATTAAAAGCAACATATGATATGGCACATTATTTTTCTATTTTACTATATAGTAACAATATTGGACCCATACATGCATGTTGGCCCACCATATATATATATATTGAAAGATAACAAATTCACTAGCAAATTCCTTGGCCACACAATCATAAAAAATAGATAAGGTATATCAAAGAACTATAACATCCTCACATCATGATTCTCAAGATTCACAAGAAAAACAACTAATGACTAATGTTCTTTAAATATAGCAACAAAAAAAAATATTAGAGATACTTACATTGGATGAAGACCTTCAATGACTAAAATTTTGGGAGGTTTAATAAGCTCAGGAGCATCCAAAAGACCAGTAACATGATTATAAATAGGTTTTTGAACAGATTTTCCATCTTTAATAGCTTTAACTTGTTCATACATAAGATCAAAATCATTAGCTTTTGGATCAAGTGCAGTAACACCTTTCTCTTTTCTACCAGTTCTATCCAAGGAATGATAATCATCCAAACATATGACAGTTGTTGTGTCACTTATAAGTGTGTTAGAATCAGGATTACCACCTTTTGGTGGTTCTGCTGCTCCTCCAAAAACACTTGTGAGTCTTCTCATGAAAGTGCTTTTTCCACAACCTGAATCGGCTGCTAGACCAATCACAATTGTCTGTGAGTCACCTGCTCCACATGTTATCAAGTATCTTTTGTTGCTGTTTGTTCTTCTGTTGTTGCTTTTCTGGTTTGTTGTGAAGAAAAGTACTTGTTTTTGATGGAGTCCAACGTTTGATTTTGAGGATGTTGGAATTGAGATGTTTGTTCTTAGAGATTGTGTTGAGTAGACAGTGCAAGCTGCCATTGTTTCTGAGAGATTTATTTTTCTCTCTTTTTTTCTAAGTTAAAGAAAATTTTGAAGAAGAAATGAGTTTATGTTGGATAGATGATTAATAATGATAAGGGACATTTATTCTAAGAAAAAGTTTGGAACACATAAAATATATGAGGTGGAATTTAGAACCAAAACAAAGGGAGTTAGCAGGAAAATAAATAGTGAAAACAAGAGGTTTTTTATTTTATTTAAATAAATTAATAATTATTTTAGTCCCACATTATGTAGTTGACATTTTTTACTTTGGAAAATATTGTATAAACTATTAAATTAATTTCAGTTCAATCATAACAAAATTTATACAATATTTTTATGAATTAACGTAATAAATATGTAATGAAATTATTTTATCTACCATTTAACTGTGATAAAATTGTAGATTTTTTACTATAATATACCTTTATATTTTATTTTGATTATAATAGTTGTTGTATGTATCAAAATTACAAACATATTTCAAATTTTTTATTTTTTTTTATTTTATATACTAAATTTATCACTATATTAGCAACACTTTACACTAAAGTGGATTTAATCAATTTATTTATATACAATTGTTTAATATTTGTGTTTCTGTGACTTACCCCTAGTTTTTGTGACAAATATGTGGAAGTGCTTGTAATGTTGTTAGAAAAACAGGAATTTGAGTGGTGTTAGTCCATTGTAAAAGGATATAGTAGTCATTTTAGATTTTTCTTCTAAAAGAAGACACATAAAAGATCAATTATGACACTAGATATTTAAACCTTTATTTGCAAGTTGTTTAAAAACAATGAAATTGATTAAATTATAGCATATGTGGATTAAAAAAACAATATAGGAAGGGTCCTTTGTGGTTAGTAGTGTAACATGGATATTTGACATTCCACGTGGCATAAATATGGTGGATATTTGAAGATGAGGGATAAAGGGTGTGGAATGAAGTAGATTTCATGGGGAGGTTATGCCATCCAACTCTATCTTGGACTCTTTGAGTGTGTGTTTGTGTGTGAGATTTATTAATTGCTTCGATTTTTGTTTTTTTTTTTCTTTTTTAGATCAAACTGTGGACTCTTGTTATTGGAAACTGGAGGCTATGTTTGATTAACAATAGGACCACATACACATTCCTTCATCCAAAATAGTGTCACTAAAAGATGTGGAAGTTGGTTTGTAAGGTGCATATAGCATATTCCAAACGATCACAATAGTAAAGAGCCAAACGATCACAATAGTAAAGAGTGTTTATATATATATATATATATATATATATATATATATATATATATATATATATATATATATATATATATATATATATATATATATATATATATATATATATATATATATATATATATATATATATATATATATATATATATATATATATATATATATATATATATATATATATATATATATATATATATATATATATATATATATATATATATATATATATATATATATATATATATATATATATATATATATATATATATATATATATATATATATATATATATATATATATATATATATATATATATATATATATATATATATATATATATATATATATATATATATATATATATATATATATATATATATATATATATATATATATATATATATATATATATATATATATATATATGGAACCAAATGGTCAAATTAATACGACTAACATAGTGAAAGTAGTATTAAAATATTTTTTTTACATAGCATGTATAAATGATGAGTAGTCTTATTAACAACATATTCCATGATTCTACAGAACTATATTAAAATAGTTGTTGTGAATCAGATGTCTTGAAACAAAATATAAATGATTTTTTTTTAAAATCAAGAAACACACAAGAGTTAGGGTTAATAAAACTATTATTCTTTCATTTATCTTAAAACAAGATTACAAGTATACAAGAATAACAAAATAACTTCTCTCACTTAAATTAGGATTTTATCTTCCTATTTTTTTTTATGCAAGTTGAGAGACTAGCATGCTATTTATGAGAAAACTAACACACTAACCTAATGTGCTTTTTAACAATTACCCATTACAAGCTAACTTAAACAATTGGACTTACAAGAAAAACTCAATTCAACATGCTAACAAACCTAGCAACATTGACGAATGTATGTTAGAACAAACTTTGACTACAACACGCATTACTCGCGAACAAACTTCGACCACTCTTTTCTTGAGTCATGTGTCAAGTGTAACCTGAATCCATAATCCACTCTTTTCTTGAGTCGCCACTTGAAACCACAAGAACATCAGATGATTCGAAGTCATCTTGAACAATGGTTGTGTTGCCATTACCCTTACCTCTATAATCTTTCAGGCGTTCAGGGCACACCTTTCTTGTGTAACCCTCCTTCTTACAGTGATAACATCGGATACCAGATGTTTCGCCACTATAAGACTTATTATGTTAACTTTTACCTTTCTTCTTGTCGAACTTACCATCCTTTTGCAAGAATTTTCCCTTAATGGCTAAACCTTCGCCCACCGTCGAAGGTTTATGCTCCTTTCGTTCGTTCAAGTCCTTAGAATACAAGGCTGATTGAACTTCTTCAAAGCCCAGGGACTCTCTTACATACAAGAGAGTTTTTTTGAAGTGAGCATGTGCTTTGGGAAAAATACACAACAACAACATTGCTTGATCTTCACATCAATATTTTCAAGATCAATAATCAGCTTGTTGAACAAATCCAACTGCTCATCCAACACTTTGTCTTCACTCATCTTGAATGAATACAAAGCTTGCTTCAGGTAGAGTCGATTCACTAGAGATTTGGTCATGTACAAACTTTTAAGTTTCACCCATAATCCCGATGTTGTAGTCTCCTTTGATACTTGTCAAAGAACCTTATCACCAAGGTTCAAAAGTATTGCATTGTGGACTTTCTCAATAATTCCCGTCTTTTCTTGTGTCGTTAACACAATGTTCATGGCTGCCTCTCCCTTCAACACTTTCAAACAGCCTTGCTGAACTAGTAGGGCTTTCATCTTCAAGCGCCACAGACCGAAGTCGTTCACTCCGGTGAACTTTTCAATCTCATACTTTGTTGAAGGCATCTTCTCTATGCTCACCGCACCAATTTGTTGTGAATCAGATGTCTTGAAACAAAATATACACGATTTTTTTATGATCAAGAAACACACAAGGGTTAGGGTTAACAAAGAAAACAAGGGAAAACAACAAGGAATGATTATAAACTGTTATTTTTTCTTTTCTCTTAGAACAAGATTACAAGTATATAAGAATAACAAAATAACCTCTCTCACTTGAATTAAGATTTTATCTTCCTATTTTCCTTATGCAAGTTGAGAGACTAGCATGTTATTTATAAGAAAACTAACACACTAACCTAATGTCTTTTTAACAATTATCCATTATAAGTTAACTTAGGGTACAAATTAACTTAAACAATTGATTTATAAGAAAGACCTAATTCAACATGCTAACAAACCTAACAATATTGACTAATACATGTTAGAAAAAACTTCGACTACAACACGTATTATTCGCGCAACCATTCTAAAGTTCGATCCAATATCTCACAATAATTTTACTAAATCAGTTTAAGTCATAACTCACTTAACAAGTATTTTTTTTTTAATTTAAATTTTTACATGCTTTTCTAATCTTACATATCTAATAAAAACACATAAGATTTTTGTCTCCCAAAGTATTATATATTATTTTATTAATTGCAATATTTTGTGAACTGTTAGTTACATCTTTTGAGAAATAAGAAGAGTGTTTAACAATAATAATCGGCTAATGTAATTATAAAAAGAGACTTTTGATCTTAATTCAAAGTCTTAAAAAATAAAATGTGCAAGTCATTTCAAAGGTGAATTTCTCATATTTTATATTTATATCATCATTACAATAAACAATTCTTCTTATTACACTAGTAGTAGAAAATGCGTGCGAAATAGAAGTGGGAAAAATAGATTTTAAAGGCTAGACGAGTGTATAACAAATTTGTTATTATATCGGTATCTTGTTTCCGTCACTTAATTAATTATTTTGATATATTTTATATGTAGTTTTAGATTCTCTTAAAAATGTTTTAGTATCCACTTTTATGGAGTTCTTGTTGGGTAATTAATGTAGATTTTCCATTACAGTTGGAGTATTTTAAACCAATTTTTCTTCAGTAAATGGTATACAAACTTGTTTTAATTCAACCAGTTTAATTTGGTCACGCTCCAACAAACCGAAACATGCCTAAAACTTTATTTCGAAAAACCTAACAAAATTGCATTCCACGTTCCTTTCACAGCATTATACGAAGCTTTATCAAACTCAATATTTAATTAATACTACTGTATAATATTTTTAATATTATGAATATTTTGGACTCAATTTTGATTATTGAATATACTAGTTTTAAAGCGAATTGAAGTTCTAAAAGTAGCTTTTTAAATTTAAAAAACAATTGGACTATAACTACACACTCTAAACCATTGGCGTTTTCTTTGTTTCTATTCATTGCCATAAAACGACATCCAAATATATTACACAGATTTCCTGTACAATAAAGGTATATTCAAATTACGTATGTAATTAGCATATATATATATATATATATATATATATATATATATATATATATATATATATATATATATATATATATATATATATATATATATATATATATATATATATATATATATATATATATATATATATATATATATATATATATATATATATATATATATATATATATATATATATATATATATATATATATATATATATATATATATATATATATATATATATATATATATATATATATATATATATATATATATATATATATATATACCAGAGTTGTTAATAGCGGAAGCAGGATCGGATTTTTAGTAAAGAAAGGAGGAGTATAGAAGATTGTGAGACAATATTGTAAGAAAGTTCAAACTTCTTATTCAAAGGTGTGTGTACAAATGAAACTTAAAT